CCAATCCACCTGCCGTTGCGGGACCATTAGAGTTCACACCAGAGACCCACGCCACTCTCTGCCACTCCAGACAGAACAAAGTTTGTCTCTTATCTCAGAATCCTCCTTTTTTGTGCCAGCCCTAATGGGAACAGGGAGGCGGGCAGCTGCCTCATGGAACATGGTTTCTTGTCCATGGAAGGTTAACATAATGAGGAACAAGTCATTTTCAAAGCTTTTAATCTCAAGGACACATCGATGAACATCAGAGATCACACACATTTCCGGAGGTGAGAGCCATGTGTTCTTGCCTTGCCTAGCAAAACCTCGCAGCTGGAGATGGAAGCTCACAAGAACCTCCGCCCTGGTCCTACACAATGCAATCTCACTCACAGCAAAGGAGCTCAAATCCTTAAGGGTGAACTCCTAACCATCCTTATTTATATAATATCAGTGGAAACAGTTGGTCTTGGCCAGTATTAACCGCTTTCCATTTTAACCTGAAGATTGCCACTTGTCCAGTTTTAATTTTAATTGTTTGAATTAATTGTGGGATGTATCTTAATTGATTGATCGCGTGTATTATGCATATCGTCTTATTTATATGATGTTAGCAGCTCTGAGCCCGGCTTGGCCGGGGAGGGCGGGATACAAATAAAATTTATTCTTAAATTATTTATGTATTTGCTTTCAAAATGTTTTTGTTTTTTTTAAGACCACTTTTCATCAAGAGTCCCAGTGCAGCTTCCAGCAGTAAGAAAAATGCAAATGAAAAACAAAGCACAATTTAAAGCGTGTTCCAGACTCCCTGGGGACATGGTGGGCTCCCCTTCCTTGGAGATTTTAAAGCAGAGGTTGGATGGCCATCTGCCAGGGATGCTTTCATTGAGATCCCTGCATCGCAGGGGGTGGACTAGAGGGCATTTTGTCAAGGCATGGTTTGTATTGACAGTAATAGATGGATTTTGTGCTGGGCCCGGGGGTAACCCTTGAAATGTGGTCCAGGACCGGACCAGAATCCAAAGGTTCCGCTAGGAGTCAGTCCAACAGGGCCGAGGCAGGAAACGAGGCAGGAAACCAGGCAAGGACAGGTACAGGATCTTAGGCAGGTTCTGGCATACAGCAATGTTGCTCCCGCAACCTGGGGCGGGGTCCGACAACCTTTTATCTCTGTCGGGGTAGCGCCAGTCCTGATCCCCCAGCGACTCACCTCCCTGTCTGCCCGAAGGCGAGCACTCCTCCTGCGAGTACTCAGGTCTCTCCTCTCTCAGACCTCAGTCTCTGCAGCTCGGGAGACGTCAGTGGGTTACTAGACCCAGGGGCCGCCTCAGCCTCCCCTGACCCAACCGGTAGTGGAGCAGCTGTAAGTGATGGCCCAGCTGAAGGCAACAAGGTCATCCCCACATCTGGAGCCAGGGCAGGATCAGGCCCCTGACTCGGCCCAGCTGGTGCTTGTTGCAGGGGAACCTGTGCAGACTGGGGATCTTCAGGATCAGGTCCCAGACTTGGTTCAGGTGATGCCTGAGGCAAAGGATCTGGTGCAGACTGAGACTCCTCTGGTTCTGAGTCTGAGGCCGAGTCCCAGGCCATCACAGATTGGATGGCGATGCATCTCTTCAGCAATTACAATAAAATAGTTGTTTCTGGCTTGTTTTGTTGTTGTTTTAAAAAACCACTATTATGGTTCTAGACCTGGACCTTTGCTGCATGTCTGCTGCAAGGGAAGCAGATAAGAAAACTGTCTCCAGGTTGAAAATGTCCTGTTTATTTACCACTGGACAGAGTGAGAAGTTCATGCCTGCCTCTGCTCTTCTGTGTTACTCTTACCGTCCTGGTGTGTCCCCTGTGCTGCTCTCATTCTGCTGCTGGTTTCCTAAGGCGATGGACCCACACTGTGTTCCAGGGGTTGGCAAACCCTTTCCATTGATCTGTGAAGCCTGGGAACCCTGGGGTGTCTTCAGCATGACATGATCTTGTGGCTGAAACCTAAGAGTAAGCAACTTCTCCAGCTCAACTTGCCGATGTGCAAGTGTCCTCGTCGCATTTCTTGGGTTGTCTCAATGTTTTATTGTTGTTGTTTAGTCGTTTAGTGGTGTCCGACTCTTTGTGACCCCCTGGACCAGAGCACGCCAGGCACTCCTGTCTTCCACTGCCTCACGCAGTTTGGTCAAACTCATGCTTCGAGAACACTGTCCCACCATCTCGTCCTCTGTCGTCCCCTTCTCCTTGTGCCCTCCATCTTTCCCAACATCAGGGTCTTTTCCAGGGAGCCTTCTCTTCTCATGGGGTGGCCAAAGTATTGGAGCCTCAGCTTCAGGATCTGTCCTTCCAGTGAGCACTCAGGGCTGATTTCCTTCAGAATGGAGAGGTTGGATCTTCTTGCAGTCCATGGGACTCTCAAGAGTCTCCTCCAGCACCAGAATTCAAAAGCATCCGTTCTTCGGCGATCAGCTTTCTTTATGGTCCAGCTCTCACTTCCATACATCACTACTGGGAAAACCATAGCTTTAACTATATGGACCTTTAGGAGTCTTTTTTGTTGTTGTTGTTCAAATGAGGAGGTTCTGCTGTTTTCGAGCCAGCAGGTGGCAGCACAGAACTGGCCTTTTGCTTTCCATCCCTTTTCGGGATGGAAAGTCTCAAGAGCGCTTTCAGCAGCAGAGATTGTGGTGGAGCAATAGATGGGAAATTGCACAACATGAAAAACTGACCTGGTACACCCGGTTTTTGAAAGGAAAAGCAAAGGTAACATCTTTTGTCTCCATTTGGTGGGGTTTTATTGAATGCATAAAAAAGAGAGGTCACATTTGTCTCTTTCACAAGTCTCTCAATTAATTTGGGATTGTTGGCATCTGTCTGTCTTGGGAGACAACGGAGGAGTGCGCTTTTGGGGCTGAGGTCAAACTGTTTGAAGGTTCTAGTTACAGGTAGGTAGCCGTGTTGGTCTGCCATAGTCAAAACAACAACAACAACAAAATTCCTTCCAATAGCACCTTAGAGACCAAGTTTGTTATTGGTATGAGCTTTTGTGTGCATGCACACTGATATGCCCATGGTATCTGAAGAAGTGTGCATGCACACGAAAGCTCATACCAATGACAAACTTAGTTGGTCTCTAAGGTGCTACTGGAAGGATTTTTTTTTTTATTTTAAGGTTGCAGCATCTGCTGTAACTGCAGAAAATGATATGGGAGAGACATGTTTCATTGCATCTGGGGCAGATGAAGGTGTCTGGTTGTGCTGCTGCAGATGCCCCATGGCGTTTCTTCTCTCTGCGCTCCTTCCAGCAGTCTTTCCTCCTTTTGTCACTGCTATGGATGCACAACCTGACTGCCTACTTCCAAGCACTGTGGTTGTCTGATTCCCACATGGTGGGAATTGGTGTTGCCAGCCTTCTCTCACGTTTGCAGACATAGTCAGATGTTATTCATCCTAGTATTTATAATGCAGAGTTGGCCACACCTGCTGTTCTCTCATTTCTCATGATGGTACTTTCCTCTTACCTGTCTGTATCCTATTGCAGAGATCTGGATAACTAGCGTCATCATTTTGTCTTGTGAATGTAACTTCTCGTGCCAGTCTTTATTCGGTTCAGTTTGTATGTGTTTCTCTCTTAGAGTTCTCTTTTGTTATTTGTGCTCTATGAATAGAATTTAATTAAAAAAAAACACTTTAAAGAGAGAGAGCAGAGATTGCAAACAAAATCAAAGTGAGCCATGCCGTAGGACGGTCTCTGTGGGTTCTGGCAAGGGCTGATGGGTGTTTTGGTCCGGGGATACCTGGAGGGCAGCCGGTTGGCAGAGGCTTCCATGTGCCGTAGTTCAAAAGAGAAAACTCTGGGAAGTGAAGAGGCAGAGCCCCAGCAGCGAGCGAGGCCGATCTGTCTCTTCCATCCACCACCAGCTCAGGACCGTGATGAAAGGAAAAGCAGCTGAGCTGCAGGAAAGGGCTGCACAGTCACTGAGCACATAGCGTACTCCCCCCACGTCTCCTGTTCCTTTATTTGACAGGTAGTCCCACTGGAAAATTCTGAAGACGTCTCTAACAGAATCGAGGAGAAGAAGATGCTTCTCTCCATCTTACATAACCAAGAGGAACGGCAGACACCCAGCTTACTTTGTTGTTGTTGTTGTTTAGTTGTGTCCAACTCTTTGTGACCCCCTGGACCAGAGCACGCCAGGCACTCCTGTCTTCCACTGCTTCCCGCAGTTTGGTCAGACTCATGCTGGTAGCTTCGAGAACACTGTCCCACCATCTCGTCCTCTGTTGTCCCCTTCTCCTTGTGCCCTCCATCTTTCCCAACATCAGGGTCTTTCCCAGGGAGTCTTCTCTTCTCATGAGGTGGCCAAAGTATTGGAGCCTCAGCTTCAGGATCTGTCCTTCCAGTGAGCACTTAGGGCTGATTTCCTTCAGAATGGAGAGGTTGGATCTTCTTGCAGTCCATGGGACTCTCAAAAGTCTCCTCCAGCACCAGAATTCAAAAGCATCAATTCTTTGGCAATCAGCCTTCTTTATGGTCCAGCTCTCACTTCCATACATCACTACTGGGAAAACCAGAGCTTTAACTATACGGATCTTTGTCGGCAAGGTGGTGTCTCTGCTTTTTAAGATGCTTACCCAGCTTACTAGTCGGGCATTATTTTTATTTCATGAATAAACGACCGACGGGAAGACATGCAAATATACCGCCGGAAGCAATTCAGGATGAATGATCGATAAAGAGGAGGAGCCCAGTGTCCCACATCCCTAGGGCTAGCAAAGGGGCTCTGGGTCAAAGAGAGTCCTCCTCATTTCTGCCTGAAGGCAACTTGCATGTTCTGGAAACTTGTGACCCAGCTAGCCGTTGGACTGAGGCACCTCTCCCCAACCCGGTGCCCTCCAGGTATTTTGGCTGCCCAGGGCTGACGGAAGTTGTAGCCCAGTACAACTGGAGGGCCCCCAATTGGGCAACGTTGGCCTGAGAGACCATCTCCCCCTTTTGAGATCCTGTCTGGAGGGATGCTGCCATTCAGGGGAAACTGTGAGCCTTTTAATGCCATTGATGGCAGGGTCAGACCACACGACCATTCTCTCTGTTGGAACCCATGTAAATGAGCTTGTGTGTATGTGTGATTTGGCTGTGTGTCAAAAAAATCTATTGAATTCAGCCCTCTTACACACACACACTGTAAACTTACCACGTTGTGCTTCTCCAACACCCACGACTTGAAGGATCTGTATGTACTTGAACTTTCATGAGACTCGGTTGAACAGGTGCAAATCCAGTGGGAACAGCAGCTTCCTGGGAGATCTGCACAGGTGGAGTGGGGTTTTGGGCTCTTAGTCATCCTTCTAGATTTGGCCACCAAGCCCAACTTAAAACTTCACTCTGCATTGGGACCCTGGTCCTGAGAGTGTAGGTAGAAAGAAGGGGGTCTTCCTGAGTGAAAACTAACAGCCACCTTTCCCTTTTCCGCTTGCTCACACCTGCCCAGACGGGTTTTTATGGCCGCCTCCGCTCAGCCCAGCTCCTCTTACGGACAGGTGACTCCGAGACTGTGGCTGTGACAGGTGACGTTCTCACTCTGCTCCTGGCTTGCGAAGGCGATGGATTAAGATTATGTTGAGGGCACCAGAAAGAGTTTTTTGTTCATCGAATGCAGCATGGGAACCCTGCAGTCTCTCCAGATTATCGGGTTTCTCCTTTGCCTCTCCATGATGGATATCAAAGGGTAAGTTATTCTGTCTCCCACATCCTGAGTTAACTATCCTCCTGCCAAACATAAAATGCACTTATCCACTGTCCATGTCAAGGAGCAGGAATCATCCGGTTCCAGCGAGGGCTGGTGTGCAGATCCTTCTCTTCTCCCCACTTCTCTGGGGGAAGAAGAGAAGCCAGTGCTGGCTTTTGGCCTGGCTGACAACTGAAGTCCAAGGCAGACCCTGGATGTGCTTTGGAAAGAGGACATTTCCATCCCTTCCGCCGAGTCAACAGCCAAGTTACCAGCCAAGTTATGTCAAATCCTTCTGCCTGTTCTGTTATTTCTGCTTCCTGACTTCTTGCTTGAACAGGCAGCTTTAGGCTCCTGGGCACAAAAGAGTTGTGTTTCTTTCTCTCTTTCTTATGGCATTGCATGTTCTGCTTCTCTTGTGCATTGTATCCTTCCTTGGAGTCAATCAAGTTGGATGGCTATGTCAATATTGTTAATAAATAAATAACCACAGATGCTTTTATACGGATAGCTGGCAATGTACATTTTGCATTCCGCTAGTTAGCAGTCTGCATACGGTTGCAGAGAACAAATATTCATGGTTAATGGTCCCCACCGTGAAAGAGATTCACCTCTCCTCACATTTAACATAGTCTCTTGTGGCATCTTGAAGACAAACGTATGATGTCATAAGGTGTGACGGAGTGATATGAACAACCCCTTGTTAAATCCTTGGAGGCAAACTGCACAGGCACATAAGGTGGGGTATAAATATAAATAGTTGTTTACACCTTTTTGTGAAACAGCAGCAAAAAAAAGCTCTTTTGCAGGGGGAGGGCTTTAAAGGAGAAGAAGGGGAGAGGTGCAGTGATTTTCCCTTCCCAGGCTTACAGTTTCTTTGCTCCAAATTGCCCCCTCCCCAAACAATTTTTCTCTGCTAAGGCAGGAGGTTGGGGGGGGAGCTGCTTCCCCCCATCCACCTTCCCTCCCTTATTGCTTTTAAGCACTGTCACCATTAACAGCTTCAGTCCAGGGCCAGCTGCACATGGTTTTGCTCCACTGCCACAAGTGGGAGTTGGCTAGACCTGATGATGGAGAAGAGAGAGAAGATTTACTGCAGCTGTTTTAAGATCGGAGAAATGTAGCGAAGACAGAGGGAGAGCCCAGGCAGGCATTCCTTGGGGGGGGGGTGTGCTGTCCATACATCCATTCAACGCCCCTGGTATCAAAGTGCCACGTTTACACTCCCCTCCTTTAATCCAAAAATCCTCCTGCCCTAAAGTACCGTATTTTTTGCTCTATAAGACGCACCCTTTCCCTCCTAAAAAGTAAGGGGACGTGTGTGTGTCTTATGGACCGAATGCAGGCTGAGCGGCTATCCCAGGCTGCGCAGTGCTCCCTCTCGCTGTTCTAGCTTCTGGCTTAGCCGCATGAAGCCTCTGCAGGGCAGCGGGGAGCCTTCATCACTGACGGGTTTCTCCCACCTCGTAGAAAAGCCCACAAGAGCCGTGCTCCCTTTAAAGATTGCGCGGCTCTTGGCTGGCTTTTGTGGGAGGTGGGCGAAGGGACAGAGGGCAGCTTAGCCACGCGCAGCCTCTTCCGGGCAGGGGGAGCCTTCATCCCGCTGCCGTGTGGAGGCTTCGCGCGGCTATCCCAGAAGCCAGAACAGCAAGAGGCTATCCCAGAAGCCAGATCCCTCTTGCTGTTCTGGCTTCTGGGATTCAGAATATTTTTTTTCTTGTTTCCCTCCTCCAAAAACTAGGTGCGTCTTATGGTCTGGTGCGTCTTATAGAGCGAAAAATACGGCATACAGCTGAAATGAAGAACTGTTGGGGTTTTGAGTGGAGATACTGTGAGTTGCGTAGGGACATGGGTGGCGCTGTGGGTTAAACCACAGAGCCTAGGACTTGCTGATCAGAAGATTGGCGGTTCGAATCCCCGTGACGGGGTGAGCTCCCGTTGCTCGGTCCTTGCTCCTGCCAACCTAGCAGTTCAACAGCACGTCAAAGTGCACGTAGATAAATAGGTACCGCTCCGGTGGGCAGGTAAACAGCGTTTCTGTGCGCTGCTCTGGTTTGCCAGAAGCAGCTTAGTCATGCTGGCCACATGACCCGGAAGCTGTACACCGGCTCCCTCGGCCAATAAAGCGAGATGAGCGCCGCAACCCCAGAGTCGTCCGTGACTGGACCTAATGGTCAGGGGTCCCTTTACCTTTACCTTACTGTGAGTTGCATTCTGTCCTGGGAGTCAAAACAAGCCCACATTCCTAGCCTGAAGCTTTCTTCATTCTCTGTGTGGGTCTTTTATACCTGACTCTGGTTGTTAGATCTCTGGGTTCTAATTAAAAAAGCAAAGCGATTCCTGCAAGTCTGCCCACACCTGACCTAATCTGCTTACATCTCTCCTAGCAGGGAAGAAGAAAGTGTTCCAACCCTTACTAGGGATGCCTGGGCTTATGACACAGGTAGGCACCTCTCTTGGAACTCTCCTTTGTGTAACGGCTCCCGTCACTTCTGCCCAGAGGCCCATGGAGCCCCACACCTCCATCTCACAATGCTTCTGTACATGGCTGTCTTTAGCATATGCGCCGCTGGGGTGCAAAGATCTGCCCAGCGCCCCCAAATTTAGTTTAGCCCCCAAATGAACTTTTATTACGCTTATGTCAGACACCACGCTGACGCCTTGTTTACGAAAAAAGGGAGGGAAAAGAAACAAAATTCTTTATTTGCTCATTTCTTTACAATACACACTTATACTTAAGTATGCAACACCACCACACTTTAACTTAGCCACCTACTTAGGAGAATCATCAGTCGTGTCAAAGGTGCCGCTGACTCACCCTGCTGCCGCGTAGCAGCTCAATACAATATGTAACATAATATTTTGATGTAAGAGTTAATTTCGTGTGCACGGCACCGTTGAGAATGAGAAGCGCCGTTGAGTCTGACAAGCGCCGCCATCGTGAATAACAAGCACCACCACTGGCGTGGCGCGTCTTTGGTAAATGTGCGCACAAAGTTGAAAGTCCTTTAGTGAAACAGTAGGTATGCATTTCAGTAATACCTAGGTGTATACAGTGGTGCCTCGCAAGACGAAATTAATTCGTTCCGCGAGTTTTGTCGTCTTGCGATTTTTTTCGTCTTGCAAAGCACGGTTTCGGGAAAGTTTTGGGAAAGCTTCAACAATCACCAAAGTCTTTAAAAAACCTCCAAAAAGGCTACCACACCGCGTGCTATGAGTTGCTCCTCGAAGTCAAGTCGCAACTGTATTAACGGTGTTAAGAAAAAGGAAACAAACTTGCAAGACGTTTTCGTCTTGCAAAGCAAGCCCATAGGGAAAATCGTCTTGCGAAGCAACTCAAAAAACCAAAAACCCTTTCGTCTTGCGAGTTTTCCATCTTGCGAGGCATTCGTCTTGCGAGGTACCACTGTATGTGTTTTGTTCTTCTAGCTTGATCAAAGTTATTTATTATTTCATAGCAGGTAGATAGTTAAGAGCTTAGGCGGCTTCAGCAGTGGGTGCCGGGTGCCCCCCAGAATTCGGTGCCCGGGTGCCCTGCACCCCCGGGTAAAGACGGCCCTGCTTCTGTGTTCCAGACATCCTAGCCAGCTGTGACTTCAATGACAACCTCAATCCCTTTTGCAACTGGAAACAGTCCTGTAGCAGTAGCTTCGGAAGCTGGATCCGGAGCAGAGGTGGAACGCCGACCCTCAGAACAGGCCCAGAGGGGGATTATCCTGATGGAAGTAGGTGTTGGTTTTGTGGCAACGCAGCCAAAGATCCACCAAAGGGGGTGGGATGGGTGAGGGAGAATATATGGGAAGGTGACCTGGAGGAAGGAAGGGAGGAAGGAAGGGGGAGCTCATCCATTCTACAGATGACATCAAATTGGCAGGGGTAGCCAATGCCACGGAAGACAGAATTGGGATTCAAGATGACCCAAACAGATTGGAGAACTGGGCGCAACCTAACACAATGAATTTCAATAGAGGCACATGTAAGGTTCTGCACTTAGGCAGGAAGAAGCAGTTGCACAAATGTAAGATGGGGGACACCTGCCAGTCGTGCAGGTGAAAAGAAGTTTGAACAATAAGTTGTGAAGCCTCTGCTTCCTTTACAGTGGTACCTTGCTTTACAAACTTAACCCATTCCGGAAGTCCATTCTTAAACCAAAGTGTCCTTAAACCAAGGTGTGCTTTCCCATAGAAAGTAATGGAAATGGATTAATCCGTTCCAGATGGTGAAAAACAACCCCTAAAAACAACAATTTAACATGAATTTTACTCTCTAGCAAGACCATTGATCCATAAAATGAAGGCAATAATCAATGTACTGTACTATAAAACGAATAAGACAGTATTGCAGATGATAAAAATTTATTTATTTATTTTTCTTAGGTGCACTGATGATAGTCGTTGTTTGAATGGGGGAACTTTCATCTATTTCTGCAGTCACACAATCAACAAATAGCTGAACTGGGTTCCACACAGTCACAAAAACAAGTCACAAAAACAAAGTCACAAGCCGCAGTCACAAGTCAGTCCCATAAAACAAAGAACAAGCAAAAAAAATGAAAAGGCCACACAAACAAAAATGCAACTTTTTAAATAAAAAATAGCAAAAACAAAAGCTCCAAATATCACCTCAGTGTTGTGTGGGTGCTCAGAACTCAACAGCTGACAGACTCAAGAGAAATCCATTTGCACATGGTGCCATGCCACCAGTCCATGCAGAATGTAAAAAGGTAAAGGTAAAGGGACTCCTGACCGTTAGGTCCAGTCGTGGACACACTATATATAGAAAGGAACAAACCAGTGATGGGAAGGTGGGGTGAGCAGGCGGGGCCCATGACTTACATCACAGGCTAATGGTCAGGGATTTGGGGAGCTGTAGTGTAACGTTATATAGCAAGTCCCCCCCCCAACCCTCCTTGCCCTCAAAGACCCAAATATTCACCACCAACGGACTCAATAAGCTTTGGGGAAAGCATTTTGTTTGTTTCAGACCAGGATTTATATACAGTGGTACCTTGGTTTACGAACTTAATCCGTTCCGGAAGTCCGTTCTTAAACCAAAGCGTTCTTAAACCAAGGTGTGTTTTCCCATGGAAGTGGGGAAATTTACAAATGGAACACAATAGGAAGTGGAACATGTTCTGCTTCCAAGGCAAAGTTCAGAAATCAAAACACATACTTCCAGGTTTGCAGCGTTCTTAATCCAAGTTGTTCATAAACTAAACTGTTCTTAAACAAAGGTACCACTGTAATATACTAGGATTAGTAAATATTATATAAATTATATAATATATTAGGATCCGGGGATGCGGGTGGCACTGTGGGTTAAACCACAGAGCCTAGGACTTGCCGATCAGAAGGTCGGCAGTTCGAATCCCCGTGACGGGGTGAGCTCCTGTTGCTCAGTCCCAGCTCCTGCCAACCTAGCAGTTCGAAAGCACGTCAAAGTGCAAGTAGATAAATAGGTACCGCTCCGGCGGGAAGGTAAACGGTGTTTCCGTGCGCTGCTCTGGTTCGCCAGAAGCGGCTTAGTCATGCTGGCCACATGACCTGGAAGCTGTACGCCGGCTCCCTTGGCCAGTAAAGCGAGATGAGTGCCGTAACCCCAGAGTCGGCCATGACTGGACCTAATGGTCAGGGGTCCCTTTACCTTTACTTTTACCTATATTAGGATTAGGACTTTGTAAGAATGAGTCCTGATTTTGCTGTTATTTTACAGCATTTCTCAGTGTTCTCTCCTTCACTGGAGGTTTTTAGGCAGAGGTTGGATAGCCACCTGTCAGGGATTCTTTACTTGTGATTCCTTCATCACAGGAGATCGCTTCCATCTCTATGGTTCAGCATAAATTTCCATTTCTTCCACCATGCTATCATATTTGAGCTCATTTGCTACGATGAGCTGACTTTACATCACTTCCTGCACAGTCCGAAACCCAGTCCAAACTATTCAGCTCAGTTAGGTGACGTAGGGCCCAGTCCCCCCAAATTCTGCTCACACGCACAGCTCAGCTGGCAGCAGCCCCTCCCAGAGTCTCCTGAATGGAGTTTGGGAAAGGGTAACTTTTGCCGGCAAGGCTTCTGTGTTCAGGGCAGCTGTTTAGCAGCTCCATCTGGGACGCAGGATGAGACCCTCCCTGCCCGCAGACTGTCTCGCCAGAGTGGTACATGCTCTGGTTATCTCCCGCTTGGACTACTGCAATGCGCTCTGTGTGGGGCTGCCTTTGAAGGTGACCCAGAAAATACAACTAATCCAGAACGCGGCAGCTAAACTGGTGACTGGGAGCAGCCACTGAGACCACATAACACCGCTCTTGAAAGACCTACATTGGCTCCCAGTACATTTCCGAGCACAATTCAAAGTGTTGGTGCTGACCTTTAAAGGCCCAAACAGCCTTGACCCAGTAGACGTGAAGGAGCGTCTCCACCCCCATCGTTCTACCTGTACACTGAGGTCCAGCTCCGAGGGTCTTCTGGCAGTTCCCTCCCTACGAGAAGCCAAGTTACAGGGAACCAGGCAGAGGGCCTTCTTGGTGGTGGCACCAGCCCTGTGGAATGCCCTCCCACCAGAGATAAAACAAAGAGATTATCAAAGAGAAGAACAACTACCAGACTTTTAGAAGACATCTGAAGGCAGCCCTGTTTAGGGAAGCTTTTAATGTTTGATGCATTACTGTATTTTAATATTTTGTTGGAAGCCACCCAGAGTGGCTGCAGAAGCCCAGCCAGATGGGTGGGGTATAAATAACAAATTCTTCTTCTTCTTCTTCTTCTTCTTCTTCTTCTTCTTCTTCTTCTTCTTCTTCTTCTTCTTCTTCTTCTTCTTCCTGTTGTCAGGACCCCTCTGCCTGTAGTTCTTGCGTTCCATCCCAAAGCGCTTGCTCTCTGCTTCCAACCAGAGGCCCCCAAAGGAGAGTTTACAACCTTTCTGTGTGTTTCACTTCTCCTTCCAGAGGGCTATTTCATCTACCAAGAAGCCAGCAACCTCCTTCCCTTTGACACCACCACCCTTGAGAGCCAGGAGCTTGTGGTCTCCGGGGAAATATGCATCGATTTCTGGTATCACATGTCCGGCTCAGAGGATTCAAACGAGCTGAAAGTTGTCGTCTTGACCGATGAGGACGAATTCATGTTGTGGCATCAAAAGGGGGGTCAGAGCTCAGACTGGCTGCATGAATCCATATCCGTGCATTTCTTGAGAGAGAGGGACATCCAGGTAAGACATATGAAAGCACTCTGTGCTGTATACATGACTGGGGAGGAAGAGTAGGAAGAAAGCAGAATGATGCTTGCATGTTCATCAACTACATTAATTTAGGGTTACCAGACATCCCCGGTTTCCGGGGACAGTCCCCGGATTTGCAAATCTGTCCCCAGACAAATTCCGTCCCCAGAATGTCCCCAGATTTGCAAATCTGTCCCTGGGAAATGTGGCAGCGGCAGCCTCAGCAGCCCGGAGCCAGCCTGGCAGCACAGTTGGCACTGGCTGGCTTCAGGAGCTGCTCACTGCTGTGACACCCGCCATTTTGCCTCGCTAGAAGTTCCCATATGATGTGTTGCACACAAGACACATCATATGGGGACTTCCGGAGAGGAAAAATGGCAGGTACCATGGCAGTGAGCAGCTCCTGAAGCCAGTCAGAGCCAACTGCACTACCAGGCTGCCTCCGGGCTGCTGACTGCCTCTGCCACCGCCACTGCCAAAGGGGAACCTGGGATGTCCGGTGGTACAAATCTCCTGCCCCCTTCCCCCTTTGTTTTGACTAATCGGGGGAGGCTTGGGAGTTGCAGGCGGGCGGGCATTTTTTAAAACTCTGCACATTTATGTTTCACAGGGTGGGAAAGAAGGGCTTTGCACCTTGTCTGGCAGAGAAACTGTGTGCCTTGCACCCCTCCAGGGCAATGGCCGCCTGCCCACGACTCCTGAGCCTCCCCCGATCTGTCAAAACAAAGGGGGAAGGGGGCAGGAGACCGGGGAAGGCTCTGGAGTCATGGGTGGGCGGTGCACCGTTGCCCAGTTTTTAAAAAAAACTCTGCGCATTTATGTTTCACAAAGTGCGAAAGAAGGGCTTTTCACATCTATACAATATGCATGTGTGTTTGGGCCCAGGGTCTTTTGCCTCAACATCCCCACTATTGACTCCCTGTTGCTATTCAGCTTCAAAATGAATCCCCGGATTCATTGAAAAAAATCTGGTTGTTGTTTAGTCGTTTAGTCGTGTCCGCCTCTTTGTGACCCCCTGGACCAGAGCACGCCAGGCACTCCTGTCTTCCACTGCCTCCCTCATGCTGGTAGCTTCGAGAACACTGTCCCACCATCTCGTCCTCTGTCGTCCCCTTCTCCTTGCGCCCTCCATCTTTCCCAACATCAGGGTCTTTCCCAGGGAGTCTTCTCTTCTCATGAGGTGGCCAAAGTCTTGGAGCCTCAGCTTCAGGATCTGTCCTTCCAGTGAGCACTCAGGGCTGATTTCCTTCAGAATGGAGAGGTTGGATCTTCTTGCAGTCCATGGGACTCTCAAGAGTCTCCTCCAGCACCAGAATTCAAAAGCATCAATTCTTCGGCGATCAGCCTTCTTTATGGTCCAGCTCTCACTTCCATACAAAAAATCTGGTAACCATACATTAATTGCCTTTTTCTGTAGTGATATAGAACAGGGTTGAGCAATGTGGTGTTCTCCTAGGCAGAAGAGAATGTTGCACTAGATGAGCACCTTCTGGGCCTGATCCAGGAAGACCCTTCTTGCGTTCCCAAGCTAGATCAGGAGCAACTCATAGATATTTGTGTGTAATTGAAGTAGATTGATAAGATCCTCTTTCTCCGTATTGCCAGAACAGCAACAAAATAACCTCCTTTCCTTAAATTACATGGCAGAAATTATTTATTTGGACAATTTATATATATCACTTATATTTAAACAAAGTGTAAGTTTTCAATGTATCCTAGATAAACAGCAAATAAAATAAACCCGAGAGTTTCCACATTCTGCAAAGCATCAATGTACACACTGCTAGAAAATTCAGCTACAAAGTTGCAAGAACAGTAATCCACCAAACAAAATAAAAATCAGGAAATAAAATATTAGTTGAAAATCAGCTAAAAAGAATTCCACATTTTTAAATAGCATGATTGACAATTAGACAAAGAAAATAATAGAATGGTTGAATCATAGTTGGACGGTTCCCTGAGGTCCTCTAGTCTAGTCCAGCCCCCAGCAATGAAGGAATCTCAGCTCAAGCATCCCTGACAGGTGACCACCCAATCTCTGCTTAAAAACCTCCAAGCAAGGAGAGTCCACCACTTTCCGATGGAATTTCTTCCACTGCTGAGCCGCTCTTCCTGTCATAAAGGTCTTCCTGATGTTTAGTCGGAATCTTGTAACCTGAAGCCATGGGTTCGAGTCCTACCCAGCCACAGCTGACTCTCTGGGCAAGACTAGTATAAAGTAAGCAGCACATAAGTGGCACACAGAATGCTACCAGACTATTTTACATTCTAAATCTTATATTAATAATCCAAAAATTGAAAGAGCTATGTACAAGATCTACTACGGAAGCCACAAACAGAAAACTCATTCAAATTGTGTCCAAAAAGAAGATTCAGTCTTTAAAGTTCCTTTAGCCAGGCTCCTGTAGATATCAACAAAGGTGAGTTTGATCAAACAAAGTGTCAGCGATGTAATAATAATAATAATAATAATAATAATAATAATCTATTATTTATACCCCGCCCATCTGGCTGGGCTTCCCCAGCCACTCTGGGCGGCTTCCAAAAAAAAATATTAAAATACTGTAATACATCAAACATTAAAAACTTCCCTAAACAGGGCTGCCTTCAGATGTCTTCTAAAAATCTGATAGTTGTTGTTGTCTTTGACATCTGGTGGGAGGGCGTTTCACAGGGCAGGCGCCACCACCGAGAAGGCCCTCTGCCTGGTTCCCTGTAACTTGGCTTCTCAGAGTGAGGGAACCGCCAGAAGGCCCTTGGTGCTGGACCTCCGTGTCCGGGTAGAACGATGGGGGTGGAGACGCTCCTTCAGATATACTGGACTGTTGTGCTCAAGGGTTTGATATCAATGAGGATAAGTTTGATCAAACGAAGTGTCGGAGATGTTATGCACAAGAGTTAGACAGGGTGCCAGCGTTTGTCACCTGTTTTGCCCATGAAGCTCTCTCAATTTCTGGATTATTAATATAAGATTTAGAACGTAGAATGGTTTGATAGTGTTCTGTGTGCCGCTTATGTGCTGCTTACTTTATACTGGTCTACTACGAGAATTGGCAGCATAAGTTCATTTCTTCAGAGTCTCTGGGCAAGGCCGCTTTGTCTGACTGGGGACTGGGCTGAGTTGCTTTAAATCTCCTTCACTAGGTGGCCTTTGTGGCGATCCGAGGGTTGACAGAACACGGCGACACGGCGCTGGACAACGTGGCTGTCAGGAGTGGGCCTTGCGGTAAGCAAGCTTTCCCTCCGGGTTTCAATCCTAACTGGAACAGGAATAATTTTGTGACGTTTGCCTCACAGCAAGGAGTTGGTGCTCAGCGGTGGGCATGTGATTCCCACAGAAAGGCCAGGGCCCTGTTTTTGCAAAACAGAAGCAGGAGATCAAAGTGCCCTGATTATATCAGGACATTCCTGGAAGTTACACCAGGTGCTCATGAAAATAAATCCCTTTCAGGAGAACGCAGGGTTCCTCTGTCTACGCCTTTGTGGATCAACTATAAAGGGGGATTTGGGGGAAATGAGTAACCAGTCCTGTGGCTCCACCAGCACTCAAATTTAGTGGAAGTAAAAGCTCAGTACAATGATACCTTCGTTCTCAAACTTAATCTGTCCTGGAAGTCTGTTCCAAAACCAAAGCGTTCCAGAACTAAGGCACACTGCTTTCCCATAGAAAGGAATACAAAACGGATGAAGATTTTTAAAAACAACCCCTAAAACAGCAATTTAACATGAATTTTACTATATATTGATCCCTAAAATAAAATCAATGTACTGTATTATAAAATAAATAAGACAGTATTGTAGATGATAAAAATTAAAATTATTTTCCCCCCTTACCTGCACTGCATTGTTTGGATGGGGGGCTGTTATCCATTTCTGCAGTCACACAATCAATCAATCAATCAATCAATCAATCAGTAGCTGAACTGGGTTCCACACAGTCACGAAAACAAATTAACCGAAAAAGCCTCAAAAAAGAAAATGCAAAATAAATGGGAAGAACAAAAGCGCCAAACTTAATCCATTCCGGAAGTCCGTTTGACTTCCGAAATGTTTGAAAACCAAGGCGCAGCTTCTGATTAGTGCAGGCGCCCCAGAAACAATAGCCAACAGCCACATCAGACGTTCAGCTTCCGAAAGATGTTGGAAAACCAGAACACTTACTTCCGGGTTTTCAGCGTTTGAGAACCAAGGTACCACTGTATTCCAAATACATTTGTAAAGGTGTTTGAGGAAACTCCCTCGGCCAGTAAAGTGAAATGAGCGCCGCAACTCCTGAGTCGGCCATGACTGGACCTAGTGGTAGTAAGTTTACCTTTACTAAAGGCTAATTTAAAGCTAATCCACACACAGCTGCTCAGGTCTATCTCAACTAGGGATGTAAGAAGGCAGCAAATTCCATCCCATTCTGGGTTTACAGTGGTACCTCGGGTTACATACGCTTCAGGTTACAGACTCCGCTAACCCAGAAATAGTTCTTCAGGTTAAGAACTTTGCTTCAGGATAAGAACAGAAATCGGTGGCAGTGCGGCAGCAGCGGGAGGCCCCATTAGCTAAAGTGGTGCTTCAGCTTAAGAACAGACCTCCGGAACGAATTAAGTACTTAACCCGAGGTACCACTGTATTGTGATTGTCATTATTTCTATTCCACCACAATTTAGCTTGTTCCTCTCACTCTCTGCTATGGTTGAAACATATGTAATTATTTATCTAATCAATTGCATGATTTATGTTATTGATTACATTATTTACATTTCAAGGGAATGGGAACATCAGAAGCAACATGGAAAATCATGTGATTATTTGCATAATGTTTGCCAACTGAAAAAAACAACCATAGCAAATACTACTTGTATCCACTTGGGTGATTTCTGTTCCTGACCTTGGATGGTCATGCAAAGTGCAGAAATTTCTGTTGCCGTTTCCATTTCCAAGAGAATTCTCCAAAATCTGCCACCTCAGCTCACCTGTGACTTTGCAAATACCCAAATACCCACAGCTCTTTTGAACAATTTTCACATGGGCCTTAAGTCAGTTTGTAACTGCTGGGTCATAGCCTGGGACTCTGTGAAATAAGCTGACGGACGTAATAACTGGCAAATCATCTTGACCTGGTCAGTGTCTTCAACTCTCAGTACATAATAATTTTCTTTATTCCTCCAGATGTCTCCAGTTCTACGACTCCTCCTACAACAATCCCAGAAACAAGTGAGCCAGAAATTTGGGGGGAAATGGGCACAATTATTAATTCAAAGACGGTCAGAGAGAACAGGCCGGAATCCTAGATTAACTAGTTAATGGCCAAGCCTAGTGTCTGGAAAGACCTGGGTTGGAATATCTTCTCAGCTATGAAGTCGATTCGATGGTCCTGTGACCACCATGCTCCACTTTGAACCTAACCAGCCTCAAAGGCCTGATTTGAGGAGAGCATGAAGGGCGGGTTGAAGAAACCTGGACAAAACAACGGAAATGAAACAAAGATCTGGCGTGCCAGAGACCGAGGAACTGGGTGTTAGTACAACAGGGGATGAGTTAAGACAGGGGTCAGCAAACTTTTGCAGCAGGGGGCCGGTCCACTGTCCCTCAGAGCTTGTAGGGGGCCAGACTATATTTTGGGGGGGTGAATTCCTATGCCCCACAAATAACCCAGAGATGCATTTTAAATGAAAGGACACATTCTACTCATAATAATAATAATAATTTATTATTTGTACCCCGCCCATCTGGCTGGGTTTCCCCAGCCACTCTGGGCGGCTTCCACAGAGATTAAAAATACACTAAAATGTTATACATTAAAAACTTCGCTGAACAGGAAACTTCCCTACTCATGTCACGCTGATTCCTGGACCGTCCACAGGCCGGATTGAGAAGGCGATTGGGCTGGATCCGGCCCCCGGTCCTTAGTTTGCCTACCCATGAGTTAAGAGAACAATGCAACAGCGAGGTTGCCTTTTGCTTGCTTCCCAGTTTGTCAGATCCTTCTGCTCAGTGTGATTCCTCCTGTTACGTTGCTGTGGCCTTTCCATTAACAATACATTAAGAGAACTACAGCAGGTAGCAAGCGGGGACTTGTCACCTTCTGACCACATACCCCTCATCTGTCCCAGTTGGGGACATCCCATGTTTTCATGGCAGAGCACGACAGCCATTTGGGGTGCCGTGCTCTCGTGTGATTTGGGGCTGCATTCTTGCCTCCCCAAAGGACTTTTCCAGAGCTGTGGTCTTATGCAGCCCCCCAAAACACCATGCCTTTAGAAAAGCACTTTCCGGGACTGTGATCTCACATGGGTCAGGTGACCTGGAAGATGGCGTCCCGGTTTTCCCCTGTGTTGCTTTGGAGTGAGCCTATCTGAACCCATCTTGGGAACATAGGGATCTGCCTGCTACTGAGTCAGACCCTTTGTCCATCTACCCCAGTATTGTCTGCACTGACTGACAGCAGCTCTCCAGGATTTCAGGCAGGGGCCTCATCCAGCCCTACTTGAAGATGCTGGGGATTGATGCTGGGATCTACTGCACTCAGCGCTCTGCCACTGAGCGACGGCCATTCAGTACCACACATCAGTTGAGGTTTTGTAAATGCACAAATTGAAGCGATCAATTAATCAGTAGAAAGGCAGGTGACTGGGGAGCTCAAAGACACAGCCCTAAGTTGACACTGTCCTTCATTTTGCAGCTCCTCTCTTCACCACCCCACTGTGGACAACCATGCCAACTCAGGCACCAGGTATGCGGACACGATGGGAACCTAGAGACTGAGTCCATGGCGGGGAGCACTAAGAGGGAAGCAGCGCTCTGCCCTGGTAGAAACCCCACATCTCCCCTACTTGTCTTGCTCAGCGATGGACCACCTGGTCCCTTAGATAGAAGATGGCAATCTTCCCTGCCTGGCTGGCTCTAACAGGGAGCAGCTACCTCCTCCCAGCTGGGTCCATGCAGCCTGGGGTCACAGGGAGGGGGACAAGGGGCCATCAGCTGGAGGGGAGAGAGAAGGGGGCAGGTGCACAGAATGAAGTGGGCTTCCCTCTGGAGTTTCCATCGGGGAACCCGCCAGCATCCAGTGGAACAGAAGTGGCCATCTGGTTGCAGAAAGAGGACCACATAAACTGCATTTGGCCACTTCACCCAGCAATTCCACCCTTCCCCAGTCCCATGAGACTGGGCCTTCCATGGATGCACACGAACCCTTCTCTTTCTTGCTTCGCCAGATCCCTGGGTTCACTGCGATTTCTCTTGCTCCTTTGACGTGGACTTCTGCTCCTGGAGACAGCTGCCCTCGGACACATTTGACTGGAAGCGGCACAAAGGCCCCACATCCTCAGCAGACACTGGGCCGCCCTATGACCACACTTCAGGAGGTGAGGGGCAGACCGTCGCCACTGCAGGAAGCCTTCCAGAGGGCCATTGGCTCCTGACACTCTAAAAGCAATGTGAGAGGCCCCCAAAGACAGCTGGAGGCAGAATGTTTTCGATGCTTGAGGTTTGCTGTGTTGTTAATTATGTTGGAAGCCACCCAGAGAGGCTGGGGCAACAGAAGCAGATGGGCAGAGTATCATCATCATCATCATCATCATCATCATCATTATTATTATTACTTAGACTTCTTAGATTGCAGCAGCGGCAGCCCTGGAATCTGGGCACCTTATTCAACATACAGTGACGGCAAACTGCCAGACAAGGGTGCAATTCCCTGCTGCACTAGAGCAGGAATGTCCAACAGGTTGATTGTAATCTACTGGTAGATTCCTGGGAGGTTTTGGTAGATCGCGGTCGATCGCTGGGTCCCTTTCCTTAGCGTTTGCAAAATAGAATCTGGCCCTGCCCCCTCACCCCGCCCGCCATTGTTTCACGATCTGCAGAACGGAAGATGGAGTTTACTCAGTGAAGCTGCTTGTTTCCCCAGTGATCTGTTGGTGAGTGGCTGTTCCTCTTCCTCCCCCAAAATCCCCCCCCCCAAAACGGGGCTTTCCTCCTCCCAAAAAGTAGCTCAACATCTGAAATATACTCAGAGTCCTGCAGCGATTTCATGCTCTCTATTGCAGCTTGTAAAACAGTAATTGAATTTCCCCAAAAACCTCAGGCTCCAGTATATCTGAAGGAGTGTCTCCACCCCCATCGTTCTGCCCGGACACTGAGGTCCAGCGCCAAGGGCCTTCTGGCAGTTCCCTCCTTGCGAGAAGTGAAGTTACAGGGAACCAGGCAGAGGGCCTTCTCGGTGGTGGTGCCTTCCCTGTGGAACACCCTCCCACCAGATGTCAAAGACAACAACAACTACCAGGCTTTTAGAAGACATCTGAAGGCAGCCTTGTTTAGGGAAGCTTTTAATGTTTGATGTATTTTAATATTCTTTTGGAAGCTGCCCAGAGTGGCTGGGGAAGCCCAGCCAGATGGGCGGGGTATAAATAAATAAATAAATTATTATTATTATTATTATTTATTTATTTATTTATTTATTTATACCCCGCCCATCTGGCTGGGCTTCTTCTTCTTCTTCTTCTTCTTCTTCTTCTTCTTATTATTATTATTATTATTAGCATTATTTACATAATGAGTCCCATCTGATTGGCTGATTCTGCTTCCCTCCTGGAACCTGATTGGGCAGGTCAATCAGTACTTGTATTCTAGGATCCTACCTGCTTAGTACATAACAAATACTTTGCCTGGCACCCCTAAAAAAATGGGGCTATACTTCTCCTCCATGAAAAAAGCTCAACAACTTTGCCCTGAACCCATCACTGCCAGTTTTTAATTCCGTAAGTAGATCGCAGTCTCTTGGGAGTTGGCAACCCCTGGACTAGCGCATCATTCCTGCCAGTGGCCCAAAGGTCTTTTAAAACCACGAGCCAGCGATTCTTGACCAAAATTTGCTTCCGTTCCACTCCATAGTTCTCTGAGGCAGTCTCCTTCACCATGCACAGGAATTTTCCCGTTTGAAATTGGAATGGCAAAATCTGGACCTCACCCAAAAAAACAGGCCTTTGAAAACCATGAGCCAGCAATTCTTGACCAAAATTTGCCCAAAGGTGGCATTGAGGTCGCCAGACAATATAGGGATCTGTCCATTTCACGTGTGGCTCTCTTTTCCAGGGGGCTATTTCATTTACCTGCAAGGAAATGCTGTCAGCCCAGGAGATGCAACCCACCTGGCCAGCCCCACCTGCACTTCCCGCCGCCCTCGCTGTCTCTCCTTCTGGTACCACATGTATGGCGCGGCACAAGCAATGGCTCTGCGAGTTTATGTGGTGTTTAAAGGTGCGTCACCTCGGCTGATCTGGACCCGAACTGGGAACAAAGGCAACCATTGGCACAGAGGGGAAGTCAGCGTGGCTCCCAGGGAAGAAATGCAGGTAACAGAAACCCTCGCAGGTGAGGCATCGGCAGGTGTGGCCGGCAGCACCTGAGCCTTGGCTGGCCATGAACTGACCAGAGATTCCTTTTCTCCCTAGATAGTCCTGGAAGGCAGGCGAGGGGAAGACTTCCGCAGTGATGTGGCTGTGGATGACATCTCCATGGAAGAGGGGTATTGTCCAGGTAAGATCCCACCCCACAACCAAAGCTTCTCAGTGGGGCTGCTTCGGGATGGGAGTGGGGAGAGCGTCAATGGAACATTCAGTTTTGCTGAAGGTGGTTTTTTTGTTTTTAATGACCCTGCAGTATTTGTGTGTGTGAGAGAGAGAAACAAACTTTTAAATTTTGGGTGTTTAATGTTTATAAAGAAGTGAGAGCTGGACCATAAAGAAGGCTGATTGCTGAAGAATTGGTGCTTTTGAATTCTGGTGCTGGAGGAGACTCTTGAGAGTCCCATGGACTGCAAGAAGATCAAACCTCTCCATTCTGAAGGAAATCAGCCCTGAGTGCTCACGGGAAGGACAGATCCAAGACTTTGGCCACCTCCTGAGAAGAGAAGACTCCCTGGAAAAGACCCTGATGTTGGAAAAGATGGAAGGCACAAGGAGAAGGGGACAACAGAGGATGAGATGGTGGGACAGTGTTCTCGAAGCTACCAGCATGAGTTTGACCAAACTGTGGGAGGCAGTGGAAGACAGGAGTGCCTGGCGTGCTCTGGTCCAGGGGGTCACAAAGAGTCGGACACCACTAAACAACTCAACACCAACAATGTTTATAGAGGGGACATGGGTGGCGCTGTGGTCTAAACCACTGAGCCTCTTGGGCTTCCCGATCAGAAGGTTGGCGGTTCAAATCCCTGTGACGGGGTGAGCTACCGTTGCTCGGTCCTTGCTCCTGCCAACGTAGCAGTTCGAAAGCACGTCCAAGTGCAAGTAGATAAATAGGTACTACTCCAGCGGGAAGGTAAATGGCATTTCCGTGCTCTGTTCTGGTTTCACCAGAAGTGGCTTAGTCATGCTGGCCACACGACCCGGAAAAACTGTCTGTGGACAAACGTCGGCTCCCTTGGCCAGTAAAGCAAGATGAGCGCCGCCATCCCAGAGTCGTTCGCAACTGGACTTAACTGTCAAGGGTTCTTTACCTTTGCCTGTTTAATGTTTATAGAACAGATTTTTGATATTTGTCAACTGCTTGGGAGGCTATATTGGCAATAAAAAAATACCGATCATAATAAATGCGGCTGCTGATGTCATTTCACCAGAGCCCACCTTGGTCTAACTCCCAAAGTTGCTGCCCTCCCCATCTCCTCCTTGGTCCCTTCAAGGTCCCCAGATGATGAAAGACCCGCCAGGCTTTGGTCACTGGCTGCTCCCAGAGGGTCCTATATCCTGAGCCCCTACACATTTGGAAGCTAAGTGTTTTGTGTCTGCCTATTTGCAATGTTGGGCACTTTTAGTAAGGACATTCTCCCCTGAACCCCAGACTAACCTGAGATTTATTCTTAAGGAACAAATGCAATTTCTCATCGTAGGACATACACCAGCAACATCCACCCCGGCCACCACCAGCAGACCAGCCACACTGATCCCAGGTGAGAATAAAGAGGGTTATGGAGATGGGTGATTGATAAGAGATGGGTGATTGATGGGTGATGGAGAGAACTGATGGGTGATGGCGAGAAACTGCCACCATGATCAGCTCAGCGCCTCCAACCACAGGTGAGTTCTCCAGGGTCAAGAATGTTGCTGACATTTCAGTTTTCTGCTTCCTTTTCTGAGTTTCCATCTGGATATTAGATGGGGAAAACAATCACAGGGGGCTGGTGAGCAACAAAAGTGGACCCAAAACACTGAATTCCAGTCTCAGTACCTTGAGCTACTTTGTGTGTACAAAAGCATTCTTTATGTCTGGCTGCTTTCGGTCCACACACCTCCTGCCCCAGACAGCATGGGACGCAAGCTAAGATGAAACGATTAGTTCCTGCTCTCTTTACTGCAGAAACATCGGCAGCAACCTCCCATCGCAGCTCCTCCGCCAGCACCACAATCAGACCAGCCCCTCCTACCACACGTGAGTTTTCATGAGTCGAGACACCCATGAATTTGCTCCGCGAGTGTTGCTGGCATTTTGGTTCTCTGCTTCATTTTCTAAGGATTCCTCTGAATATTAGATTGGGAACCATATTGTGCATTCCTGGTCTTAAATTGCAGTTTCACTGACCTTCCGATTCCCAAATCCCCCTGGAAGGAAACATTAAGAGATTGGCTTTTCCTTAACAATGCAGGAATCGGCCAGAGCTTTTATTTATAACATGGTGGACCACCTTAAGAAATCCTTCCGTCTCATCTGAGGTTTTGGTAAAGTGCAAACTGTACTGATTAATTGTTGGAAAGGCAGGCAATTCATCAACACAAAGATGTATCACTTAATTGGCTTTTTCTTTCACGCTCTTGGCTCAATGGCTTCCTCACCAAAGTGGGAACAATCTCTGTGGTTTGCAATCTACCACTGATGTTCACGTCAGGAGACCAGTCAGCAGAATCCATGAGGGAATACTTGAGTTTCTACAATGGGAACATCCCTCCTGTGCCCACCAGACACCCTGTGTGCCCCCTGATGTTGGCAGGGGTTGTGGTGGTGAGCAGAACACCTAGACTACAACATGGGAAAAGGAAAGGGGAGATTGTTTCATCCAGCAAATTGCAGCGCTTTCCCAGGTGGAACTTGCATCACATCACAGCGCTGAATTCCACCCTAAACTAAGTATCTTAACATTGAGACTTTCTATGGAAACCATTCTGGAAGCCACTCTGTGGCCGCTTTTAGGGCTTCTCCTTTCTGCTCCAGGTAGCATGGGAGATGTGGTTGCATTAAAGAATCTATTCTGTTTCTCATCATTGCAGAAACATTGTCAACCACCTCATTTCGCACCTCTAACACCACGATCAGACCAGCCCCTCCTACCACAGGTGAGTTTTCTAGAGTCAAGGTCACCACAATTTCAGTTCTCTGATACATTTTCTGAGATTTCCTCTGGATACTAGATTGGATTCAAGTACGGCTTGCTAAGGGGAGCATTAGGAGTGGACTCGGAGCTAGACTTCAGCATTGAATTCTTTCTCCTTCTGAACTCTGCATTTTGGCAGGTGTTACTCTGGAAGCCCAGGACAGCATTAGCACTGGCATACAGTGGGATCGTGTTCCTCAGCTGTGCTCTGGGGGTGGGGACAGGGGGAGAAGGAAACCAATTGTGTATTTCTGGTAATGAACTGCAGCCCCACTGACCATGGAGTCCTCCTGTCCCAAATTGCCATACTGGACCGCCCGCCCCTCCAAACATCCACACCAACCTTTCTCCTTGCTTTGCCAGAGCCTCCCCTTCACCCGGATTTGTCTTGTTCCTTTGACATGGGCTTCTGCTCCTGGAGACAAATGGCCTCCAACAGTTTTAACTGGACACGGCACAAAGGTCCGACACACACAGCAGATACTGGACCGTCCTCCAACCACACCACAAGAGGTGAGGAAGATCAAACTATCGCCATGTCCAGAAGCCTTCCAGGAGACCACTTTGGCCTGGACTGGCACCTGGAGCTCTCAATGAAATGGGGCAGCCAGCCATTCCTCCAAAGGCCTTATATCAAGGGGTCCTGCACTTGGCACATGCCCTGGTGGCAAACTGCCAATAGAAGGTGCTGCTCCTTCTGCACAGGATCTCCCTTACACGTGTGGTTCTTTTCCCCCCCAGAGGGCTATTTCATCTACCTGCAAGGCCATGTTGCCAAAGAAGGGGATGCAACACGCCTGGCCAGTCCTTTCTACACCTTCACCAGGCCCCGCTGCTTCTCTTTCTGGTACCGCATTCGCGGTGCGGCCCAAAGAAATGCCCTGCGAGTCTATTTGGCCTTTGAGGGCGGATCCCGTGAGCTGATCTGGTCACAGTCTGGGAACAAAGGGGACCGGTGGCACAGAGGCGAAGTCAACATGCCTCAAGGGAAGAAAGCACAGGTAACGGAGACCCTAGCAGGGGATGCCCCTTGCAGGTGTGGCCTTGTCTGGCCATGAAGCTGATGGGAGATGCCTTTTCTCCCTAGATAATCGTGGAAGGCGAACCGGGGGAAGACGTCCACAGTGTCGTGGCTGTGGATGACTTCTCCCTGGAAGAGGGAGAGTGCCCAGGTAAGATCAGTGCTGTGTCTAGATGGAAGAGCAGAGCATCATCAGAGCTCTGAATATTCCCGATATAGCTTGTTTTTTTGGCAATGCTGTGCTCTGTGTGCATGAGAGAGAAACATCCAAGCTGTTACAATACATGTTTCATGTTTATATGCTAATATTTGTCTAATTGGTTTTCCACAGTAGGTTACTTTGACGTTCAACAATAGATACATTAACAAATCCTGCTGGTGATGTTAATTGTCAGTTCTTCAGAGCCCACCTTGGGTTGTGTCACAGGCTCAATCTGCCAAACATGCCTCCTCTTCAGTCCCAGCAAGGGTTCCCTGGTCTCGGAAGATCAGCCAAGCAGAAGGCTGCATGTCTGGAACCCAGAAGGAGGCTTCAGGCACCGGCTTCTCCTGGAGTCTCCTGCATAACTGGCATCAATACCTTTGGAAACTAACCATTTTGGTTTGACACATTTCCCATTCCCAATTCTCCACATAGGACTGACACCAGCAGCTCTCACACCTCTCCCCATCATCATCACCACCACCAGCAGCACAGCCCCTCCTGGCATAAAGATCCCCTTGATTTTCCCCTGTGGCTTTTGCTGGCCTTTCCGTTCTCTGCTTCATTTTCCAATCTTTCCTCTGGATACACACCTGGATTCTAGTGTTGCTTGTCAAGGGGAGTGCAGTGCACTGGGGAGCATCAGGAGTGGTTTGGGAGGTGGTCTTCCACACTGAAATCTTCTCCTGCTGCATTCTGCATTTTTTGAAGACATTGCTCTGGAAGTCCACAGAAGGAGCGCAGGGTCAACAGTGGTAATCAGCTGCATTGGGGGAAGCGGGGGGCCTCTAGGACAATGGGAGAAGGTACCGAAGCCTACATTTCAGGTTATGAATCTCTCCTCCGCTGACCTTGCATTCGCCCAGTTCCCAAAGGATTAGATATGTTATTTCCTTAACTGTAAGTCTAGAAAACATTGCAATAATCAACGAGAGCTTTTGCTTATACAGTAGTACCTCGGGTTAAGAACTTAATTCGTTCTGGAGGTCCCTTCTTAACCTGAAACTGTTCTTAACCTGAAGCACCACTTTAGCTAATGGGGCCTCCTGCTGCCACTGCGCCACCATCGTGCAATTTCTGTTCTCATCCTGAAGCAAAGTTCTTAAGCCAAGGTACTATTTCTGGGTTAGCGGAGTCTGTAACCTGAAGCATATGTAACCTGAAGCGTACGTAACCCGAGGTACCACTGGAACATGGTTGGTCCATCTTAACACATCCTTTTCAGTATTTCTCTTCACTGAAGATTGGTGAGATGGTGAAACATCTGTTAAGATAAGCCCATCACATGAAAAGCAAAAGCTGTCACTCATCCTTGGAGGTTCTTCTCCAAACGCATTGTTGATGATGCAGGGACCAGACTGCCCTTCCCTCCTCGCGTTCTGGGCTTCCCGTGACCCTCTTGTGACAATGGATCTGCAGTGGCCATCCAGCTGCAGGAAGAGCATCACAGAGACTGCATGGGGCCCACTGCGTGCAGCTCTTGTCCCTTGTGGGCCTCTGGAATGGGCCTTCCAAGGCTGCATGTCCACCTTTCCCATTCTCACTCTTATGTGTACTTTGGCTGCTGTGGCCCACAACAAACCAAGGGATTGGTAGTGCCCATTCAGTTCCAAGAAGGGTGACTTCTAGTATGGGCATCTGCATACAGAAGCTGGACGCCACTGTTGACCCTGCGCTCCTTCTGTGGACTTCCAGGGCAATGTCTTCAAAAAATGCAGAATGCAGCAGGAGAAGATTTCAGTGTGGAAGACCACCTCCAAAGCTGGAGGGTGAGGGAACAGCTGCAGTCGCCTGCAATTCCTGCGCAATGTTTGCCATCTTGCCAAAGGTTGCAGGCAGCTTTACTTGCAGCAATTGCATGTTGATTGCCCTCTTACAAGACAAAGTCCAGCAACTGGAGGAACGTGTAGCTACGCTCCAAAGAATTAGAGAGCTGGAGCTCTTCTTGGAAGCAACAGAGCACACCGTCTCCACCAAGGAGGAGACAGGGGACTCCCCTGAGAAGGAGGCTAGTTCACCAACACAGGAGCCAGATATATGGAGAAACGTGACTCAAAGAAGTAGGAGGCCCAGGGTTCGCTCTGATTGTTTAGAAATACACAATCGCTTTGAGGTCCTCTCCCCTAGCATGGAAGACGAAGAGCAGACTCCATTTGAGGATCTCTCCCTCATTACAGTTGATCAGGTATATGAAGACGAGCAGCAAAGTCAGTCCTCAGGGAATGTGCAGGCGACCTTGGAATGGACAGCTCACGGAAGAACCCCAACCAAACCTAAGAGGAGGCGTGTAGTGGTGATAGGGGATTCCCTACTGAGGGGAACAGAAGCAGTGATCTGTGGGCCTGACAAGATGTCTCGGGAAGTGTGCTGTCTCCCCGGGGCTAAGATCCAAGATGTAACTGAACGACTGCAAGGAATCATAAAACCCACTGACAAATACCCCTTCCTCTTGGTTCATGTGGGAACCAATGACACTGCAAGCAATAGCCTCCAGAGGATCAAAAGAGACTACGAGGCTCTGGGCAGGAAATTGAAGCAATTAAATGCACAAATTGTCATCTCATCTGTCCTCCCAGTTGAACGATGTGGCCCAGGGAGAGAGGGAAAAATATTGGAAGTGAACAGCTGGCTTCGCAAATGGTGTAAACAGGAACGGTTTGGATTCTTAGATCACGGACTGCAGTTTCTTGAAGATGGACTTCTGGCAAGTGATGGGCTGCACCTCACAGCGGTTGGGAGGAATGTTTTTGCCAAAAATCTCAGAAACCTCATCAGGAGGGCTTTAAACTGACTAATGTGGGGGAGGGAGACAGTGCTCCTGAAGGTAGGAGTCTATCAATTGATGAAGATGATCATCCAAATGTCATAGACCGAATGGAGCAAACAGCATGCAGACCTAGTGGTGGGAGGAAAAAATCCTTAAATAAGAGACACGGGGGAATGATTAATGGACTTCAATGTCTGTACACTAATGCGCAAAGCATGGGAAATAAACAAGATGAGCTTGAGCTCTTGGTACAGCAAACTAAATATGACATAATAGGCATCACTGAAACCTGGTGGGATAAGTCCCACGATTGGAATGTAATAATGGAGGGATACAATCTATTTCAGAGAAACAGAGCAGACAAGAAAGGAGGAGGAGTGGCGTTATATGCCAGGGATGTGTATACCTGTGAAGAGATCCAAGATTTAGAACCTCAAAGCCAAAGTGAGAGCATTTGGGTCAAAATTAAGGGAGAGAAGAATAACAGAGACCTCATTGTGGGAGTTTACTATAGATCCCCAAGCCAAACGGAGGACATAGATGATGCCTTCCTGGAACAGATGGCCAAGCATGCAAAAGGAAGGGAGATAGTAGTAATGGGGGACTTCAATTACCCGGATATTTGTTGGATGTCAAACTCAGCCAAGAGCATAAGGTCAAACAGGTTCCTCACTGGCCTTGCAGACAACTTCATTGTCCAGAAAGTGGGAGAAGCAACAAGAGGAACAGCCATTTTAGATCTGGTCCTAACCAATGTTGAGGACCTGGTTAGTGGGGTAGAAGTGGAAGGATCATTAGGCGCGAGTGATCATGCTCTTCTGAAGTTTACTATACAGCGGAAAGGAGCAGCCAAGCATACTAGGACTCAATTTCTTGACTTTAAGAAAGCCAACTTCATAAAACTTAGGGAAGTGCTGGGTGAGATCCCATGGACAGTAATACTAAAAGGAAAGGGAGTTCATGATGGCTGGGAGTTTGTTAAGAGGGAGATAGTAAAAGCACAACTTCAGGCAATACCAATGAGACGGAAACATGGAAGGTGCCTAAAGAAGCCAGGGTGGCTATCTAAAGAACTTTTAACTGAGTTAAGATTAAAAAAGGATGTGTACAAAAAATGGAAAAGGGGGGAAACCACCAAAGAGGAATTCAAACAAATAGCCAGCACATGTAGACACCAAGTCAGAAAAGCTAAAGCACAGAATGAACTCAGGCTTGCTAGAGAGGTTAAAAGCAACAAAAAAGGCTTTTATGGGTATGTCCGTAGCAAAAGGAAGAACAAAGAAACAGTGGGGTCACTCAGAGGAGAAGATGGTGAAATGCAAACAGGGGACACAGAAAGGGCTGAACTCCTCAATGCCTTCTTTGCCTCAGGCTTCTCCGATAAAGAAAACAATGCCCGACCTGAAGAATTTGGAGCAAATGATTCAGCAGAGGAAACACAGCCCAGAATAACTAAGGAGATAGTACAAGAATACTTGGCTAGTCTAGATGTATTCAAGTCTCCAGGGCCAGATGAACTGCATCCAAGAGTATTAAAAGAACTGGCAGATGTGATTTCAGAACCACTGGCAGTCATCTTTAAGAATTCCTGGAGAACAGGCGAAGTCCCGGCAGACTGGAGGAGGGCAAATGTTGTCCCTATTTTCAAAAAGGGGAAAAGAGAGGACCCAAATAATTACCGCCCAGTCAGTCTGACATCAATACCAGGGAAGATTCTGGAGCAGATCATTAAGCAAACAGTCTGTGAGCACCTAGAAAGGAGTGCTGTGATCACCAATAGTCAGCATGGATTTCTGAAAAATAAGTCATGTCAGACTAACCTGATCTCGTTTTTTGACAGAATTACAAGCCTGGTAGATGAAGGGAATGCAGTGGATGTAGCCTACCTTGATTTCAGCAAGGCATTTGACAAGGTGCCCCATGATATTCTTGTAAAGAAGCTGGTAAAATGCGGTCTTGACTATGCTACCACTCAGTGGATTTGTAACTGGCTGACTGACCGAACCCAAAGGGTGCTCATCAATGGTTCCTCTTCATCATGGAGAAGAGTGACTAGTGGGGTGCCACAGGGTTCTGTCTTGGGCCCGGTCTTATTCAACATCTTTATCAACGACTTGGATGATGGACTCAAGGGCATCCTGATCAAATTTGCAGATGACACCAAACTGGGAGGGGTGGCAAACACCCCAGAGGACAGGATCACACTTCAAAACGACCTTGACAGATTAGAGAACTGGGCAAAAGCAAACAAGATGAATTTTAACAGGGAGAAATGTAAAGTATTGCACTTGGGCAAAAAAAATGAGAGGCACAAATACAAGATGGGTGACACCTGGCTTGAGAGCAGTACATGTGAAAAGGATCTAGGAGTCTTGGTTGACCACAAACTTGACATGAGCCAACAGTGTGACGCGGCAGCTAAAAAAGCCAATGCAATTCTGGGCTGCATCAATAGGAGTATAGCATCTAGATCAAGGGAAGTAATAGTGCCACTGTATTCTGCTCTGGTCAGACCTCACCTGGAGTACTGTGTCCAGTTCTGGGCACCACAGTTCAAGAAGGACACTGACAAACTGGAACGTGTCCAGAGGAGGGCAACCAAAATGGTCAAAGGCCTGGAAACGATGCCTTATGAGGAACGGCTAAGGGAGCTGGGCATGTTTAGCCTGGAGAAGAGGAGGTTAAGGGGTGATATGATAGCCATGTTCAAATATATAAAAGGATGTCACATAGAGGATGGATCCAAACTACAAGAAAGAAGATTCCACCTAAACATTAGGAAGAACTTCCTGACAGTAAGAGCTGTTTGACAGTGGAATTTGCTGCCAAGGAGTGTGGTGGAGTCTCCTTCTTTGGAGGTCTTTAAGCAGAGGCGTGACAGCCATATGTCAGGAGTGCTCTGATGGTGTTTCCTGCTTGGCAGGGGGTTGGACTCGATGGCCCTTGTGGTCTCTTCCAACTCTATGATTCTATGATTCTATGCACACTCGGTCCTGCTGGACTGACATTTCCAGGGAGGCCCATCAACCTTTCTCCTCTTGTTTTTTCCAGAGTTTCCTGTTGAGTGCAAGTTCTCCTGCTCCTTTGATGGGGACCTCTGCTCCTGGACACAATCAATTTTTGACACCTTTGACTGGGTGCGGCACAAAGGCCGAACAGCCTCACCTGGCACAGGCCCATCTTCTGGCCACACCTCTGGAGGTAAGGGAGAGATCAATATCTCCAGGGCAGGGAAGACGGGCAGATAGGAGACGCTCACACTCTCCATGAAATCCAGGGGCAACCCAGCCTCAGGCACCCCAGAGCCTTCCACCAAGGATTGCAGATGCAGCAGTGGAAGCTCAAACTTTCTCCTCCAATCGCTGGTGGTAACCTGCCAGTTGAGGCACAATTGCCTGGGACACGGGTGGCGCTGTGGTCCAAACCAGTGAGCCTCTTGGGCTTGCCGATCAGAAGGTTGGCAGTTCAAATCTGCACAACGGAGTGAGCACCCATTGCTCTGTCCCAGCTCCTGCCAACCTAGCACTTCGAAAGCACACCAGTGCAAGTAGATAAATAGGTACTGCTGTGGCAGGAAGGTAAACAGCATTTCCATGCACTCTCGTTTCCGTCACAGTGTCCCGTTATGCCAGAAGTGGTTTAGTCCTGCTGGCCACATGACCCAGAAAGCTGTCTGCGGACAAACACCGGCTGCCTCTGCCTGAAAGCGAGATGAGCGCCACAACCCCATAGTCTCCTTCGACTGGACAACCGTCCAGGGGTCCTTAACCTTTACTATTACCTGTTTTCTGTGGTGATCAAGTGCCACCACAGCTCCCAGCTCACCAGGGATCAGTTAATGTAAGGATTCCTCACATTCCTATGTGCTTCTCTTTCTCAGAGGGCTACTACATCTACCTGGAAGGTAACCAAACCAACTCGCAAGAGGGGGCACGCCTGGTCAGCTCAAAGTGCAGCCCCACCAAACCACAATGCCTCTTCTTCTGGTATCACATGAATGGCACATCCCCAACAATGGCGCTGCACGTTTATGTGGTCTCTGATATTGGAACACCTAAGTTGGTCTGGTCTCAGACTGGGAACAAAGGCGACCAGTGGCACAGAGGTGAAGTCAGTGTACCTCAGGGAAGAGGTTTGCAGGTAATGCAACCAAAGGTGTGGCCAGCAACACCTGAGTCTTGTCCACCCCTGAAACTGACTAGAGATGCTTCTTCTTCCTAGATACTCCTGGAAGGGGTGTGGGGGGAAAACTCCCAGGGTGTCGTGGCTGTGGATGACCTCTCGATAGAAGCGGAAGATTGTCCAGGTGAGACTCCCCAGTCTGTTCCAGTTTGGCTGTACATTATTAAATAATGTAAATAAATTAAATAAATAATTTTTTATTTCTACCCCGCCCTTCCCTCTAAAACAATTGATGTAACAAAAAACAGCTTAGAATACAGTATAAAACATGAATAACGATAAATTCAGAATTCAAAAATCAATTTTTTTGGGGGGGGGGATCCATCCAATAAACATTAGATGATCACCAGGGCTAGCTGGCTAAAGTCCTATGTGGGCCAGCGCGGAGACCAGGGGAGAATTAGCTGTGGGGTCCCAGAGCGGGTGATCTTCATATAAAGGGGAGAGGGAGGGAAGGAAGGGGAATAAAAGATCAGGCTAAGTTCAGATTGAAAGCCAGGCAGAATAGCTCTGTCTTACAGGCCCTGCGGAAGGAAGTGAAATCCTGGGACAGAGCATTCCACCAGGTCAGAGCCATCACTGAGAAGGCCCTGGCCCTGGGGGAGGATAGTCTGACTTCCTTAGGGCCCGGGACCTCTATGGTGTTGTTATTCATGGACCTTATTATTATTAGACTAGTGTGGGCTATTTCAGTGGCGTAGCGTGGGGGGTGCAGGGGGGGCCGGCCGCACCAGGCGCAACATCTGGGGGTTAGGGTTAGGGGGCGCAAATCCACGGGTTAGGGGGCGCAAATCCATGGGTTAGGGGGCGCAAATTACTTGCCTTGCCCCGGGTGCTGACAACCCACGCTACGCCACTGGGCTATTTTAGTGGCCATGGATGGCAGGAGGAAGGGGAGAGAAACATCCTTGGCTTTTTACGTCAGCACTTTATTAGTATTGTAAATCTCACGCTGGGTTGTGAAGCGTGACCCTGAGATGATGCAAGACCAGCTGCGCACCAGCCTGAGCATGAACGGGGAACGTAAAGAGGTTTAGGGGAGTGTCTTCTACATCAGGCTAAAGATGTACTCATCCACCTTTCTCCTTCTTGCTCTGTCAGCTTCCTCCATTCGATGCAATTTCTCTTGCTCTTTTGATGTGGACTTCTGCTCCTGGAAACAGCTGGCCTCCAACGCCTTTAACTGGACGCGGCACAAAGGCCCAACGCCCACGTTAAACACTGGACCAACCCAAGACCACACTTCAGGAGGTGAGGAGGAATGAGGGCATCCCCACTGGGGGAGCAGGACAGATAAGAAACCCTTGTGCCCTCATGAGCCCACCAGTCTTAGACATTCCAGAGGCTTCCGCCAGGGATTGCTGATGCAAAAGGGGAAGCTGGAATCCTGCTCTCCTTGTAATAATAGCAACCTACCAGATGAGGGCTGCTGGTGGTGCTGTGGGTTAAACCACAGAGCCTAGGGCTTGCTGATCAGAAGGTCGATGGTTCGAATCCCCGTGATGGGGTGAGCTCCCGTTGCTCGGTCCCTGCTCCTGCCAACCTAGCAGTTCGAAAGCATGTCAAAGTGCAAGTAGATAAAGAGGTACCGCTCCGGCAGGAAGGTAAATGGTGTTTCCGTGTGCTGCTCTGGTTCGCCAGAAGCAGCTTAGTCATGCTGGCCATATGACCCGGAAGCTGTATGCCGGCTCCATCGCCCAATAAAGCGAGACGGGCGCGGCAACCCCAGAGTCAGCCACGACTGGACCTAATGGTCAGGGGTCCCTTTACCTTTACCTTTAGATGAGGTCACTGTGTGGCCTGTTTTCTGCTGCACTGCAGCGCCACCACTTTGGAAGACCCACGGGTGGCATAGCAGCTGCCGACCCCCCAGGCATCAGACCATGTAGGGGTCTCTTTCACATGTGAATTTCTTTTTCAGAAGGGCATTTTATCTACCTGGACGGCAGTGCCACCAACACAGGGGACATCACACACCTGGTCAGCCCCGTCTGTGACTCCTCCAGGCCCCACTGCCTCCGCTTCTGGTATCACATGTATGGGGCAGCTCAAACAATGGCACTGCGCATTTTAGTCATCTCTGGTGGCGCCGCGCCTGTGATGCTCTGGAATCAAACCGGGAACAAAGGGGACCAGTGGCACAGAGGTGAAGTCAGTGTGGCTCATGGAAAAAACGTGCAGGTAAGGGGGACACGGTCAGGTGATGCATCTGCAGGTGTAACCAGCAGCACGGGAGCCTCGCCTGGCTAGGATCCTGACCGAAGATGCTGCTTCTCCCTAGATAATCCTTGAAGGTATGCGGGGCGAAGACGTCCGCAGTGACATGGCTGTGGACGACCTCTCCTTAGAAGAAGGATTTTGCCCAGGTAAGCCACCCTCCCCACACACCAAGTAAGGTTCCTCAGGGTGGGTCTGGGCTTAGCTGGACTAGAACATAGCTGTCAAGTGTCCCTTATTTGAAGGGACAGTCCCTTATTCCAGTGCCATGTCCCGCTGCTGTCCCTTATTGATGGATGTCCCTTAAATGTCCCTTAAATGATGTCCCTTAAATTTCAAAGGAAGCAGCTCCTCTCCCTCCCTCCCTGCCAGCCAGGGAGGAGGGAGGCTCCAACTGTGTTGATTGGCTGTGTTGCTCACCCAATAAGAAGTCTAAGAACGACTGGGGGGGTGGAGTTTGCATGCCTTGTGTGTGGCTAGTTAATGCAAGCTGAGGGGTTTTTTGAAAGCTGGACGCCACTTTGTTGCACGTGCTGCTGCAAACTTTGCAGTGCAAAGCCAGGCCGGGGAGCCATCTTAAGTTGAGGCTGCTTAGGCCTTGTGGTGCATGTGATTCAGATTCTATTCAGTTGAACCTCTGGTTACAAAGTTGGTTGGACAGTGTTCTCAAAGCTACCCAGCATGAGTTTGAGCAGACTGCAGGAGGACAGGAAGACTGGAGTGCCTGGAACAGGTGAGGCTGCAGGTCCCTTATTTTGGCTGCTGGTCCCTTATTTTCAAGGCTGCTGGTCCCTTATTTTCAAATCTGTAAGTTGACAGCTATGGACTAGAATGGCATGGTTGACTGGCAATTGGGGTGGCTAAAGGAACGAAGAAGACCCCTGCCGTTTCATATCAGTGCTTCAGCACTCACCCTCGGTTGTAAAGCACATCCTTGAGGTCATGCAAGATGACCAGCCCTGTGTGAGTATGAGCATATGCTGCACCGGAGTGCAAAGATCTGCCCAGTGCGCCCCCCGGTTGCCCAGTCCCAGGCGCGCAGAAGGGCGGAGCCGGCTGGCTGCCTCAGCGTCTCGCTGGCTCTGTTGCCCCCGAACTGCCCTTAGCAGAAGAGCCCACTGCAGCGCTGCGACTGACGGGTGGGCTCTCCCCGGACTCAACTCTCGGCCTGGCGCCCCTGAGAGCCCGGCGCCCAGGTGCCCTGCACCCCTAGCACCCATGGGTAAGACAGCCCTGGATGAGCATGAAGGGTGCACAAAGAATTTTGTGAATTGGCTTCTCCTGGTGGTCTGCTGCACCTTTAGCCTGGCCGTGTTTGTGTCTTCAACTGGGGCTTGCATATTGAAAGGCTCTGCTTATGTCTCTGTTGCTCCTTTGAGTCGTTCTCCTTTCTTCCCTGAGCCTGCAGATAGCAGGGCATGTAGCCTTGAATTAACGAACCATTGCTATTTCTCACAATAGGAGGAATTGCTGCAGCATCTGCACACAAGAGCACCACCACCAACGGTTAAACCACTGTGCTAGCGCTGGTTCCCCTCTCTTCCTACCTAATGAATCTTGTAGCCAGTGAACATCGGCTGATTTTCAAATGACCAGAATTAATGTATTTCTGATGAATTCATGCTTTTCCACTGATGACTATTGGCAAGGAACCTTCAACCAAGTACGGAAACCACTAATTTGATAACTGATTTACTCTTCAAGATCCAAAAGAAGATTGTGGGGCCAAATTCACAGATAGAGAGGAAACGTTTCTAATTGTATTGTTAAAAAATCAATTGTTATAGCTGAATTTGATTTTTTTTCTTTTTAAAATTATTTCCTTGGCTACTTCACTTATGAACACTTTAAATCTGGCATGATGAACTTTTCTTATTTTCCTTCTGACATATTTCAAAACTCTTTACATATTTAACAATGGGGCCCTTTATATGTCCAGCTGTCCTTTGTCAACTGCAAATTGTTGCTGTTTTTTTGTTTTGTTTTTTGAATATATGCTATATGGTAATTGAGGGACATAATAGGCATTTCAAGCCATTTGCACATAACAAAATAGGCGCCTACACAACACAAAACACTGATGCTGTTAGTAGGTTTTATTTTATTTGTTTTTTATCTTATATTTTGGGAATGTACATCCAGTTTTTTTTTCCTTTAAATTTTTTTGGGGCCCCAAGCAAGTGGGGCCCTAAGCTATAGCTTGTTTAGCTTTACGTATATACGTAAATCCGGCACTGGCTTGGACAGTCTGGCATTGGAAAATGGATCGGCTTTTGCGCAACAAAATGGATCGACATTTGCTGCTGGAGACGAAGCCAAGGAAGGCAATTCAGGTCAACTCTGTTTTGCCTTCCGTTCTAGACCCACTTGGCTGGGAGGGGAATACGCTGAAATCAGTGGGATTGTTTCACTGGGGGATCTTGAAGCCTCTTCTTCTTCCTCCTCTTCTTCTTCCTCCTCCTCCTCCTCTTCTTCTTCTTCTTCTTCTTCTTCTTCTTCTTCTTCTTCTTCTTCCTCCTTGCACCAGTCATGGTGTCTCCGCGTCCACTACCTCACTGGGTTGTTGTGGGGGGAAACTGTGAAAGCGTCTTCCCCCAAATTCCTTGTGGGAAGAGTTACATGGTGACGTGGAAAGTGGTTTAAAATAATAATAATAATAATAATAATAATCATCATCATCATCATCATTTTTCATTCATAACATTCCAATTAATCACCTATCAAATCTTGCCACATCATAATACAAATAATAAAGACAATTATACATTCCAAATAAAAATTTTTGAGGGGACTTCCCATGTTCTGGCTGGTCGGGAGAAATATTTTTTTACTTGTTCCTACTTTTTCCTCTTGTTTTCCCCCAATTTCATATTTCCGACTTTGACCCATTGTCTTATCACCCCAGTCACTGGTATCAACTTTCAATTGTGTTTAACAAATCCATATTCTCTAGTTGGCCTCTTTTCTCTTACTGCTAGAGAACCTACATAAGGACTCTATACAGGCTCTTGGGTACCCCATAAGGGATAAAGGAGAAGTTTTTTTTCTTATAACAGGTAGGTAGCCGTGTTGGTCTGCCATAGTCAAAAGAAAATAAAAAAATTCCTTCCAGTAGTACCTTAGAGACCAACTAACTTAGTTATTAGTATGAGCTTTCATGTGCGTGTATCTGAAGAAGTGGGCATGAACACGAAAGCTCATACCAATAACAAACTTAGCTGGTTTCTAAGGTGCTACTGGAAGGAATTTTTAAATTTTGTTTCTTATAACAGTTGGCTTTGGCATTTTGGCCTGGAGAGTCAGAAATCACATCACACACCAGGTTCCTGTGGCTCAGGCAGGCCAAGGGGTGATATTCCTGAGGATTAAGCAAGTTTCACCTAGTTCCAGCCACAGTTTACACAAAACATTTGCAATGGGCAAACCACAACCATTAAGGCCGAGGAGAGGAATCCCTTCAGGAACTTCCCCAGATGGCTTTCTGCCTCCGTGGGGTCTTTCGGAGAGCCAAGATGGCTTTTGGATTGCTCTCCTGCACTGCTCTAGACATGTGGTTTATATACTTATGTATGTGTGTTTGCCTTGTGCAATTATTAATGTGGGTGGCGCTGTGGATTAAACCACAGAGTCTAGGGCTTGCTGATCGGAAGGACAGTGATTCGAAGTAGATAAATAGGTACCGCTCCGGCGGGAAGGTAGACGGCGTTTCCGTGCGCTGCTCTGGTTTGCCAGAAGCGGCTTAGTCCTGCTGGCCACATGACCCGGAAGCTGTACGCCGGCTCCCTTGGCCAGTAAAGCGAGATGAGCGCCACAACCCCAGAGTCGGTCACGACTGGACCTAATGGTCAGGGGTCCCTTTACCTTTACCTATTCTATTGTGATGGGATGATGAGCAGCTTGTGCGTAAAATCCTAGTCCCTCAGAGTTTGGCCAAGTCCGCAAACCTCTGCCTACGACGGAGCCCCTCAAGCATGGCTCCGTTAGTCGCTAGCAGAATCCGAAAGTGGGCGCTTACGGAATCTCTTCCAGCATAAAAGCTCCTTAACGGAAACACGTCTTCTGGACTCTCGGCGCGACAGTTTCCGGCGAGGAATGGGTGTCCCTATAGGAGGTCTTGAAACCTCCCCACTGTTTTCGCTGGAAGTGTCTCTGAGCCATCCCTCCGACTCACTTTCCCTCGGAGCTCCCTCTCTCCCCCTGCTGGTTCCCTCTCCAGCTGCTGAGTCTCTCTCAACCTCAGCGAGCCCTTTCACCTCCTGTCCTTCCGATGGCAGTTCCCTGACATCTATATTTGAGACCTTCAAATTCCTATAACAACACAGAGGAGGAGCACATTAAACACCAACTTTCTGATTGTGTGAGAGAGAATGATTGAGTTTAGGACCGAAGCCTTATGAGGAATGGTTGAGGGAGTCGGGTCGGGATAAGCCTGGAGAAAAGGAGACTGAGAGGCAGGACGAGAGCCAGTGTCTTCAAACACTTCAAGGACTGCCCCATGGAAGGTTTTCTGCTGCCCCAGAAGGCAGGACCCAAACCCAGGGCTTCAAGTTACAAAAAGGGCGATTCCGACCCAACATCAGGATCAGGCTTCTGACAGGGATTGCTGTTTGACAGCGGAACGGATGACCTTGGGAGATGAAGGACTCTCCTTCCTTGGAAGCTTTTAAGCAGAGGTTGGACGGCCATCTCTCAGGGATTCTGTCGCTGCGATTCCTGTCATCCAGGGGGTTGGACTAGATGACCCTTGGGGTCCCTTCCAACCCGACAACTCAATGACATTCATTTTAATGCCCATGAAGTCTTCCCTCTCCTCCCCAAACCCCCCAAATCTTGTCCTGCCCTCCATATACACACAGATGCACCAACTCTGCGGCACATTTTTGCAAGTAGCAGAACTCAAAATAAATGTCTGGCAACGATCATAAAAGGAAAAAAAAAACCCACTTTATTCTCTTTGGGAAAACAAAAATACAGAGTTGTCTTTATTTTCCACACAGTGGATGGTGTTCCCTCGTGTGTCCCTTCCGCTGGAGCAGCCTGGTCCCCGTGGAAGAGGCTGGGATCTCTTGCGTGGGCACAGGGATCAAGCCCTAGATTTCCCCACTCAGGCAGAGCCAACAGCAAAATGCCCCCCTGGCAAACCTCCTTGAGCTGGATGAGCAAAGGCAGGCTCTGTGCGCACCGTCAGAGGGGCTTCCTAGGAGCATGATCTCCCGTGGGTTTCCATCAGTCTCTCTGCACACAAAAAGTCCCTTTTGGCAAGTCCTCCTGGGCCAGCCTGCGGCCTCCCCAGCTAGTTCTCTCCCGCCTCGTCATAGACGGGGTTGACGTAAGCGCCACTCTTGGGCTCTTCTGCAAAGACCTTCTGGCTGGTGGGCGGCCACTTTGCGTCCTCCTCCAGCTGCCGCTGCAGCTTCCGGTACTGGCTGGAGGAGCGGAAGCGGAAGAGGGCCTTGATCAGAAGCCAGAGGCGGTGGTTCTGCAGGATGCCATCCTGCAAAGAACATGGGAGCATGAGAAAGGGGCCCATCCGTTCTTAAAAACACCAGCAGCATTTTTACTTGGTATTATACAGGTGAAACTCGGAAAATCAGAATATCTAATTCTAATGCTGACTTCATTTTCCAGCAGGACTTTGGCACCTGTCCACACTGCCAAAAGTACAAAACCTGGTTCAATGCCCATGGGATTACTGTGCTTGATTGGCCAGCAAACTCGCCTGACCTGAACCCCATAGAGAATCTATGGGGCATTGCCAAGAGAAAGATGAGAGACATGAGACCGAGCAATGCAGAAGAGCTGAAGGCTGCTATTGAAGCATCCTGGTCTTCCGTAACACCTCAGCAGTGCCACAGGCTGATAGCATCCATGCCACGCCACATTGAGGGAGTAATTGATGCAAAAGGGGCCCAAACCAAGTACTGAGTACATGTGCATGCTTCTACTTCTCAGAGGTCCAATATTGCTCTATTTGCAGTCCTTGCTTTGCGGATTTCATTTAATATTCTAATTTTCTGAGATTGTTAATTTGGGGTTTTCATCAGCTGTACGCCATGATCATCACAACTATAACAAATAAAGGCTTGACATATCTCGCTTTGCATGTCATGAGTCTATCTCATATATTAGTTTCACCTTTTAAGTTGAATTACTGAAATATATGAACTTTTCCACAATATTCTAATTTTCCGAGTTTCACCGGTAGGCCAAGATATTAATAGACAAGATGTCAAACTGTTCTTATATGCAACAACAGCGGCAAGAGTATTGTTAGCCCAGAAATGGAAGCAAGAAGAAATTCCGACGAAAGAAGAATGGCAGACGAAATTAATGGGACTACGCAGAACTGGACAAAATGACAGGAAGGATTCGAAACCTGCGGGACCAGAGATTTACAGAAGATTGGAAGAAGTATATGAATTGTTTGAAGAGCAACTGTAATCAACAAATTACGCTAGTAGGACTACAAGAAGTTTTGTAAGGAGAAATATACGAAGTGTTAAAAAGTAGAAAAAGATAGAGATATTGGTTATGAGTTTGAAATGTAACAGGGAAAATAAGAAATTCATACTGAGAGATTAGATTGGAAAATTTTCAGGCAGGACTGATGGAAGTCAAAAAAATTGAAGAAGATGTAAAAGTATGTTTAATTACTGTTGAAAATGACGTTAAAAAACTAATAAAAACTTATATATATAAAAGAGAAAGGGGCCCATCCAGTGTAGCATCCTCTTCTCACTGTGGCTGACCAAATGCCCCTGAGCGAAA